TTCAGGTTTTTTTTTAAAATCATGAATGGATGTATTTTGTCAAAGGCTTTTCTACATCTGTTGATGGCATCATGTGATTTTTGTCTTTGCTTCTGGTTATGTGATATATTAATTTATTGATTTGTATATGTTGAAGCATCCTTGCATCCCTAGGATGAAGCCTGCTTAGTTGTATTTTATGATCTTTCTGATGATTTGTTGTACTTTGTTTGCCAGTACTGTATCTTGTTAAGGATTTTTGCATCTATGTTCATTAAAGAGATTGGCTAGTAGTTTTTTGTTTTGTTTTGTTTTTCATTGGTACCTTGCCTGGTTTTAGGATCTGGGTAATGCTAGCTTCTAGGAATGACTTTGCAAATGTCCCTTCTCTTTCAATTTTTTAAAAGAGTTTGAGGAGTATTGGTGTTAGATCTTCCCTGAAGGTCCTGCAGAATTAAGTAGTGAATCCTTAGCACCTGGGCTTTTCTTAGGTGGTCAGGTTTGGGGGTTTTGTTTTGTTTTTTTAATCAATTCAATCTCATTGCCTAATATTTGAGCATTCAGGGTTTTAAATGACTTTTGGTTTAGATTAGTAGTACATATGTATCTAGAAATCTATCCATTTCATTTGCATTCTCCATTTCAGTAGAGTACAAGTTCTCCAAATAATTACTAATAATCTTCTGGATTTTGACAGAATCTGTTTTCATTTCTAAGTACATTGATTTGGGTTGTGTCTTTTCTTTTTTGGGGGGTAAGATTGGCTAAGAGTTTATCTTATTTCTTCTTTTGAAACCCCCCTTTCAATTCACTGACTCTTTCTATTGTTGTTTTAGTCTGTATTTCACTGATTTCCTTTCTTGTACTAGCTTTGGATTTGGATTGTTCTTGTTTTTCTAGGACCTTGAGTTCCACCATTAGATTGTCTGGGGTCGCTCTTTTTCTGATGTGGTAGTTTACAGGTATAAAGTTCTCTCTTAGGACTGCTTTCATGTTGTCCCATAGGTTTTGGTATGTTGTGCTAGCATTATCATTGGATTATTGGAACTACCTTATTTCTTCCTTGATTTCTTCTGCGTCCTATTGATTACTCAAGAGAGTACTTAATTTCCATGTATTTGCATAATATCAGTAGTTTCTTTTGCCATTGATTTCTAGTTTCATTGTGCTGTGATCTGATAATATGCATGGTATAATTGCAATTATTTTGAATTTATTTAAGCATGCTTTATTGGCTAGTATGTGGTTTATTTTGGAGAAAGTCCCATGTGCTGCTGAGAAGAATATGCATTCTGTTGTTGGGTGAAACACTCTTTAGACATCTATTAAATCCATTTGTTCAAACGTTTGGTTCAATTGTGATATTTCTTTGCTGATTTTTTTTTTGTCTATTTCTGACAGTGGGGTATTGAGGTCCCCCACTATAATTGTGTTGGTGTATATCTGATCTTTTATGTCTACTAGTGTGTTTTATAAAGTTGGATACACTATTTCCCGTGGGTGTATGTTTATAATTGTTACCTCTTCCTGTTGTCTTATTCCCTTAACCAATATATGTGACATTCTTAGCTTCTTCTGATTAGTTTTGGCTTAAAGCCCACTTTGTTGAAAATAGGATAGCTACTCCTGTGTGTTTTCTAGTTCCAGTTGCATGGGATGTTATTTTTCATCCTTTGGTTTTTAGGCTGTGAATTTCTTATTGGGTGAAATGTGTTTTTCTATATAGCATACCATTGAATTTAGTTTCTTGATCCATTCTACCAATCTGTGTCTTTTGATTGGGGAATTATAACTGTTCATGTTAAAAGTTAACTTCTGATAGGTATTGATTTATTTCTGTCATTGCCTTATTTTCCCGTTGTTGAGTCTCTCTTTCTCTTCTACTTAACTGTTCACCCTGCCTGGTATCTTTATTCTATTCTCTTAGACCTTTTGGTATTGTTGGCTTCATTGTCTCTTTCTAGGATTTCCATAAGAATTTTTTTGTTTCTGTTGTTTTGTACCAGGGATCAAACTCGGACCCTTGCACTTGTGAGGCAGGTGGTGGAACCACTGAGCCAAATCCTTGGCCCTACCTTAAGAATTTTTTAAAGTGCTGATTTGGTGGTCATGGATTTTTTTAGGTACTCTTTATCATGGAAATATCTTATTTCTCTGTCAATTTTGAAAGATAGTTTTTCAGGATTAGATTAGAAGTCAAGATTGGAAGTAGTTTTCTTTTAGAGCTTGAAACACTTCACTCACTCCAAGCCCTCTTGGCCTCTAATGTTAGTATTCAGAAGTCTGCTGCAATTCTAATGGGTTTTCCTTTATAAGTGTGCTTTTGTCTAATGGCTTTTAAGGTTCTGTTGTTTTATTAGACTTCTGGATTTTGACTCTGAGGTTCTTTTACTGATAGTGGTTATTTGAGCCTTTGTCGCACAGCATGGCTCTCCTCTGTTAATATGCAGAATTACATCGATTTATTTCCATATATTAAATTGGCCTTTCATTTCTAGGATAAATCCAATTTGGTTGTGATGTATTATGAATTTAGTATTTTGCTGGATTTGATTTGCAAATAGTTTTTAAGTTGTAAATAATGTTCTTTTTTTTTTTTTTTTTTTTTTT